CTGATCTGCCCCCCTGAACACTGATCTGCCCCCCTGAACACTCTACAGTGCTTCTATTGAACACTGCTGTGCCCTCGCTAAACATTCTGCCATGCCTTTTTATCTACAAAGCATTTCTGCAGAATTTCAACTTTTCCTTACTTTTATGTACCTGTACATCCTCTCAGAACATATTTACTTTCTTTTACTGCATTTGCTGGGTTTGTGTATGATTTCACCATTTATCCACAGTGAGTGTGCAATCATTTGCTATTACAGGTTGTTTTTATGACAATATGGATTATGGTATTGGTGAGACATGGACAACATTAGATGGCTGTAAACAGTGTACTTGTATAGATGGTAATGTTGACTGTGTCAGTCAGCAAATCTGTCAAGTAGAATGTCAGCATGGTGTATTGCTTCCTGGAGATTGTTGTTCACAATGTACAGGTATGGGAATAGATATGAAGCGCAAACAGTCACTGAGATCTTTTTGAAAATGAGAGAACAAAACTTTATGACTGTCAAATAGAGTTCTATTCTCTCCTGTGTTTTTGTCAAAGTAATGGGATACTATTTGAGTGGCGGAGACCACTCTTTGTGGCTCTTTTGCTATCAACAAGATCTGAAGCCTATTGCGTTAATGTTGCAAGGTTTGAGTACTGACGAATAGCATTCAGAATATACCATATATATGTAAGTGGCAGTCATGTTGGGTATGCTCACCACTGATATATTTTTATTCTCAGACTGTCTCTATAATGGGAAGACATTTTCTGATGGTTCCACATTTGTTGTTAATGGCGAGACATGTACTCAGTGTAGTTGTCAAAGTGGTACTGTGCAGTGTACAACCCAAACATGTCCACATATCAATTGTCTGCAGACACATATTCCAGAGGGATCATGCTGTCCTGTGTGTAAAGGTATAATTTATAACTTTATTGACATTATTCATTTTGAATAGAACATAGTCCAATCTTTAACTAGATAAAAATTCCTAAATACATAAACAAAAACATACTAAAACAGTTTAACAAAAGGGCTTGGAAAAATTAGGGAATTGATAATTACTGTATCACATTACCATACTTTCTTTTATAAAAATGCGAAGCTGTATTAATGTGGAAGTGTTGCCCATAACGTATTTAAATTTTGAATCTTCATCCATCAAATGGAAATTAACAGTTTTATTTTTAATTGAGTCAAACAATTTGCTCCTAATTGTAATATGTTGTGGGCATTTCATAACATAATGGAATTCATCCTCAATTGAATTTGTGTTGCATCTTGTACAGATCCTGTGTTCAACTTTAACCTTTGGCCTTAAGTGCCTGCCTTTCTCAATCATTAAGGGATGGTCACTTATTCTTAGTTTGCATATTCTTTTTCTTATTCCACCATCCTTAACATTTTAAATTCTGTTTTGAATAATTTATACGTTCTTAGTTTATTCTGTTCCCCTGTCCCATCTGTATTTATAATTTTTTTCCAATTTGAATCATAGTCAGTCTCTAAACGTTTACAAATTTCTTGAATGTTATTTTCATTCCCACTCCAAAAGTTACCCACTTCTTTTTCACCAGTAATTTCTTGCATTGACTTAGCCTATGAGGATTGATTTTCCATCGTACTCATCATTGCCTCATGGACTAAAGTATTTGTTTTCTTTGTGCTTGTTCTTAACCAAAATTTCAATAACATTTTCTTGATAAATATTGACAGTGGGTATCTGCCTAATTCTCCTCTTACTGCTAGATTGGAGGATGATTGATTTATCTGTAATAATAACTTGCATAATTTTAGATTTAATTTTTCTACTGGTGTTTTGTCAGTATATTTTTCAATTCCCCAAATTTCACACCCATATGTTAGTATTGGTATAATGACATGGTCAAAAATATTGATCCATGTGTTCACATTAATGTTAGTAGATGTGTTAATAGTTTTTTCTAATATAAGAA